GCACCAGGGTTCTGACCCAACTTCAGATTAAGGCACAAAAGACTAAAATAAAATTTGGACTAACGTAGAAACATGTGACTGAGCTTATTGTTTAAAAACAAGAGGCCACGCCCCTTTTAAAAGCACACCCTGATTGGTTAGGGTCAAAGGGTCAAAGTTAAAACATGTAAATGAACTGTTGGCGTTGCTAATGTGAGAATAACAATAACAATAACAATAATAATAATAATAATAATAAGAACACAGACGTCACACGTTTCTGTCCAACCTGGAGGTTTGAGGCGTTGATTTAAACGTGACGCGGCCGTTACGCCTATTTACACACACAAAAAACACAGATAAAACTTTGAAATAATTTTCTTTTAGCACCAGTGTATCAGAGTAAAACAAAACCGGATACAAAGAACGGACAAAGAGCTCGTCTCCACCCGTGAACGACCGTGAAAAAAGAAAACACAAACAAACTTCATCTCACAGAGACTCAGCAGCTGCTGGTCCTCTGCTGCCTCCTGTGGTCAGTCTGTGTCACTGCAGCAGTGGATCAACGACTGCTGAGTCTGTGGGAGGAAATCACTGCTTTTCTCTATGAGGTTTGGTGTGTGTGTGTGTGTGTGTGTGTGGGGGGGTGATTGAGTGACAGTGTTTGTGTGTGTTTTCTTCTAAACAGGATCGGTCTTCACTCAGACTGAGAAATTTGTTTAATTCTTATAAACGGTAAAAAAAAAACCTCTCACCACCACAAGAAGTTGCATAGTGTTGTATTTGAGTCACAAGGAGGCGCTGTCTGTGATTGGTGGTGGCAAAAGTGACAGGCCACGGGGGGGGGGGGTGGGGGTGTCAGTCACATGCATACATTTTTTTTAAAAAATCAGCGCAAATAAAAAAAATTCTGCTCCAAATGTTCAGAGATTAAAAGACCTCGCCAGACGACCCATGATGCATCTGGGTTGAGGCGCCAACTGATTCTATTAGATGTTTCAGGAGACGAGGACGAACACGTCCAGGATGAAAAACAGAAAAAGACGCAAACTCAACGAGAGAAGAAGAAGAAAAGTGTCGGCAGGAGGTGATTGGCTCTGGCCGTGCCCTGGTGGGCGGGGCCAACCTGTGGTGGAGCAGGTGGTGCAGTCATGTCGGGACTATACGTGTTCCGTTCTCCGCCCTGAACTGAACCGACAAAGAAACGACGAGGAAAACGTGTAAAGTCGGCGCATCGGGCCGCAGTGTTAGCTGTGGAGGAAAGGGGAGGGGTTAGGTGAGAAGGGGGCGGAGTTATGGCCTCTCTAGGGACGGCGTGTTAAAGCAGCCCTCGGGTAACGTGTTCTTGATGTCGTTGAGGTTGCCGATGTCTGCGCGGATCTCGCGGATCTGTCGGTCGTAGTCGTTGATCATGGACTCCTGAGTCCGAGCCACGTCGTTCAGCTCCGCTAACTTCCTGTCCAGCTCACTGTCGGCCATCTTGCCTTTGGCACGTTTGAGCGACTCGTCGATCTGGTTCAGTTTGCTCAGGTCCACTTTGTCGATGTTTCCTGCAGAGAAAGGACCAATGAGAAGGAGACGTTCACTGTGATGTCATCGATAAACTACAGCCTCAGAGTCAGAGTGAGTCCTGGTCCTAGTCCTGGTCCTGGTCCTGGTCCTAGTCCTAGTCCTGGTCCTAACAGTCATTGGGGGTCAGTACCATCTCTCCAGGTTTGTCCAGGTCCAGTACCTGCTGCTGCGCTAAGCTAACAACATGTTATGTCTCAGTCTTTACCCAGTTGATCCAGCAGGGCGGCGATGGTGCTCAGGACCATCCTGACTGCACCCTTGGCCTTACGGGCGTTGTCCTCTGCCTCTTTGGCGTTACTTGACGCCTGTGGAAGCAGAAAAAGAAGTCACGTCACAGTCAACGAGCTCGGACCAGTGGCTAGCGTAGCTTCTCCTACCATTCCCGCCATCATCATGTCCTGGTCGGCCTCCGCCTTCTTCCTGGCCAACTCCTGCTCCGCGGAGCTCAGCTGCTCCAACATGTCGTCCACTTCATCGTCCAGCTTGTTGGCGTCCTGGAACGCCTTCTCCGCATCCGCCTTAGTCTGGGCGGAGCCCTGAGTGGAGGAAGCGTTAGCATACGTTAGCCCCGCAAACCGTATGCGTGAAACTCCGCACCGGCGACCCCAGCTTTTTACCTTCTGCACGTTGCTGGCGATTCGCTCTGCCTCCTCTGCCTTGTTCTTGGCTTCCCGGGCGTCAGCCGTCGCGTTCCCGAGCGCCGCCTCTGCCTGACGGGTCTTCTGATTTGCGGCCATAATGGTGGCGTTGATGGCGGGAATCTTCTTCATGGCTTCTTCAGCCGCTGTTTTATTGTCGTTAACTCTCTGATCAAAATCTGGACCAAAGGACAAGAATTAGGTTCTGGACAGACGGGTGAGGACAGACGGGTGAGGACAGACGGGTGAGGACAGACGGGTGAGGACAGACAGGTGAGGACAGACGGGTACTCACCCCTCAGGTCGTCCAGAATGTCCTCGGCCTCTCTAAAGGTGGACTGTCCTTTCTTGGCAGCCTGTTCGGCTAAAGCTTTAGCGGCGTCTGCTCGAGCTAACAGCTGATCTGCCGTCTGTCCGACACAAACAGGAAGTGGACGTCAGATGACCAGTACGAGGACACGTTCTGTGACCGTGGACTGCGGGGGTTTTTGGACGTACCTGCTGCTCACTTTTCCCTTTCTCCAGCAGTTTACGAACTTCCTGTTCTTTGGCCTTCAGGTCGTCGCGCAGGTCGTCGTACTCTCTCTCCGTCTTGTCGATCAACTTGTCCAGATCGGACGCCTCCTTCTTGATCTTCCCCGCCTCCTCCTGCAG